ATCCAGAACTTATGGACATAGATTTTGGAAGTGCCAAATGTCATACAGTGACAATAGAGCCATGGAAAGTGGTAAACAGAACTCTACTATTGCAATATTCTTACATTTCTCTTGAAGTGGTATAGTACTATGTTAAGAATGAAGCCACTAGGGGCGCCTGGGTGGCTCAGTCCATTAAAATGCCAGCTCTTGATTTTGGCTCAAGTCTTAATCTCACAGTTGTCAGATCCATCCCAGAGTCACACCCTGCCTCCACTGCGCTGGGCAGAGCCTGCCTAAGAATCTCTCCCTCTCTCTCTCTTCCCCTTCCCTGCCCTCTCTCTCTCTCTCTCTCTCTCAAAAAAAACAAAAAAAACAAAAAAAAAACCACAAACAAAACAAAAAACTGCAACCACTTTAAATAACTGTAAAGTGAGAAAATTAGAGAAAGACAAATATCATATGACTTGACTCATGTGGAATTTAAGATACAAAACAGATGAACATAAGGGAAGGAAGCAAAAATAATATAAAAACAGGAAGGGGACAAAACGTAAGAGACTTAAGTATAGAGAATAAACAGGATTGCTGGAGGGGTTATGGGTGGGAGCATGGGCTAAATGGGTCAAGGGCATTAAGGAAGACGCTTGCTGGCATAAGCATTGGAGGTTATACATAGGGGATGAATCACTGGAATCTACTCTTGAAATCATTATTGCACTATCTGCTAACTAACTTGGATGTAAATTTAAAAAATTAAAAGAACACAATTTGCCCAAAAGGAGGCAGGAAAAGGTGAACAGGGAACAACAAAAAAGCAAAACAGTCAAAAAAACCAACAAAACAGAAGAACTAAATATAAGCACATTTATAATTGTATTACATCTAAATGTAATTTCTAGGTTTAAAAATTCCCCTTAAAAAAAAAGTCAAAGTGGGTTTAAAACCCAAAGATTTGGCTATTATGCTGATTGCATGGATGCACTTTAAAGGCATAAGTTGCGAGTAGATAGATAGAAGTTTAAAACAATATCGGAATTTGTTACTGGGGCTTATTGAGAGCAGATAATATTAGATAATGTAGATTTTAACAACAGGAATTACTGGAGATAAAAAGTAACATTTTGTAATGATTAAAGGTCATTTCATCAGGAAGTTATATTCGTCATAAATTTGTGTGCCCTCAATAACTGAGCTTCAAATGTCATGAAACAAAAAGTAATAAAAAGACAAATCTACAAACAAGTAAGAGATTTTCACAATCTTCTTTCAGCACTTCATGGAATTAGGCAAAAAAGAACAATCAGTGAAGAAATTGAAGATCTGACATTATCAACCACCATGACCTAACTATGAATGGAGCAGTACCCCCCCCCCAAAGCTGCAGGTACATTCTCCCCAAGTGCACACGGTACTTCCAGATAGAACATATGGGACTGTAAAAGAAGTCTTAAATATAAAAAATATTCGAATCATACATGGGTTTTCTCTGACCACTGTGGAATTAAGTCTGTAACAACCAGATAGCCAGATAAGTCCAAGTACTGAGAAATAGCATTCTTCTAAATAAATCATGGGTCAAAGAAGAAATCACCAGGGAAATTTGAACATAGCTTGAACTGAATGTTAATGAGAATGTGGTATATGAAATCTCAAGATGCTACTACACACCCACAAGAATGGTTAAAAAGGTTGATAACATCAAATCTGGGCATAAACAAATCAATCAGAATTCTTTGTTGGTAGGAGCGTAAAATGATACAATCTTTTTGGAAAACTTTTGGCAGTTTGTTATATAACTAAGCATATACCACCCTCTTATTTCATAATTCCAATTTTAGGTATTTACTGAAGATATATGAAAATATATTCACCTAAAGACTTGTATAAGAATATAGCAGGTTTATTTGTAATCAGAAGAACTAAAGTGATTCATGGGTCTATCAAAAGGAGAATAGATAGGATATATGGAAGTGTTGAATTACTATATTGTACACCTGAAACTAATATAACACTATGTTAACTAACTGGAATTAAAATAACTTAAAAAGGGGGAGGAGTGGATAAACAAAATGGTGTAATTCCACAATTAAATACTACTACACAATTGAGAGAGAAAAAAATATATATATAATAATATTGATGCATATTATGAACATTATGGTGAGTGAAAGAAATCTGTGAGAAAGAGTACGTATTTTGCAATTCTATTGTTAAGTTCTAGGGGGTAGAATTAGTGTATGGTGAAAACTGGGAGAAGGATGAGGAAACTCAGGTGAGAGTATGAAACTTGACCAAGGGTTAGAGTTACACGGGTGTGTTAGTTCAGACTGCATAACAAAATACCACAGACTGGATGGCTTAAACAATACACATCATTTTTCACAGTTCTAGAGGATAGAAACCCCAGATCAGGGCACCAGCACAGTCAGGCTCTTGGTAGAGGGCCTCTTCCTTGTTTGCAGAGGGCTGTCTTTTTCTATCCTCATTTGGCCGGAAGAGTGCTAGTCCTTCCCCTTATATGAATACTAATTCCATCATTAGGCTCCACCCTCATTACCTTATTACCTCCCAAAGGCCCCACCTCCATCATAGTAGTATGTTTGGGGGTAACACAAACGTTCAGGCCAAGGTAACAGGTGTATGCACTTCTCACAGTTCATCAAATAGCACTCTTAAGGTCTGTGCATTCTACTTTATATAAAATTTGCCTCAAAAAAATAAGGCCCTATAAATAAATATTAAACCCTAGTTAAATGATATAACCACTGACAGGAGTGAAGTATACAATTATCTGCAACTTACTTAGGTAAATGGTGCATTTACAGTTTGATGGAATAATGGATAGGTAGGGTATAAAGCAAATACGGTAACGTGTTAATTGTGGACTCTTAGTTGTAGTTGTGTGGGTATTCACTGAACAATTTTTACACAGGAAATTTTTTGTAACATGGGGGAAAGTATACACAGATCACTAAAGTTTTTAAATTTTTGTTCTGACAGATAAT